CCCCCCCACGGCCTCTCGGCAGCTCCACGGGACCCTCCCAGGGGAGGCGGAGACAGGAAGAGGCTCTCCCAACGCCCACACTCACCTTTGTCCACCACGTCCCAGACCTCCACCTTCACCACGTCGTCAGTCGCTGAGGAGAGAAATCAGGGAAGGGACGCTTAAACACGGAAACCCTGAACGCAATCCCTTCACCATCCCGCCCCAAGGGCACAGTGGAACAGGTACAGGTCAAGAGCAAAGCACCACTGCCATGTCTTATTACACTGCTACCGGCAGTAAAAACAGCCAGCAATTCCACACAAAGATGAACAAAGCCCAGTAAACAAAGAAGAGTTCAATAGCTCCTATCTGTTAAAGAGCACGAGGCCAGCAGTCGTCTAGACCGGTGTTTTCATGACAGGTCACCACAGCACAGGAGGACGCGCTGTGTCCTGGCACAGCGACAGCAGACTCTGCCTCCGCAGAGCTCATCAGGTAAAGCGAAGGTTATTTATACTCGAGATGCGTCGCTGATGCAGTCGCCAGCCGCCTCGCAGCTCCAGCGCTTAAACACCACCGGCCTCCGTCTTAATCAGGGGAGGGGGAGGGGTCAATGCCTTGGCAGAGCAAACCCCTCTGTCCGCATTAACAGAAGTTATTAGTGCTCGCACAAGATCAAGGATGAAGACAAACGCCAGCCGAGCGCAGGGGGAGCCGCATAAATCCGGCTGCGCTGGCTGTGACAAATTAACACGCTGCTGCGAGCCAGAAAAGGGGAAGGGAATCTCATCTGGCTTCGGCCTGCCAGGGCTTACACACCGATGATCTGTAATGAGCCTGGCAAGCAGCACCGCTCCGGTCTCTCAGGGGGCGGACAGCAGCGGCCAGCGGGGCTCCGCGCGGCTCTCCGCTCGCCCCGGCGACACGCGCGCGGGAGGAGCCGCCGATCAAGCTGCTTCGCTCTCTCCGAACCTCGCGACTCTGAAGGCGATCTGCCGCCTGTCTCGGCCATCCCGGGCAAAGACGGGAGGCTCCCGGCCTGACGAGGATGGCTTAGCTGACCGGAAGGACAGGAGTGGCCCGGGTGTGGGCAGTCAGAGAGGGAGGGGCGATCAGCCTGGGGGTTCCTGGAGCACAGCAGGGGGACAGGAGGGGCCAGCAGGGAGACTTTGGGGTGCCTTTCAGCAAGCTGAAGCTGCGTCGCGGCACCTGTGTAGTCGCTTCTGGGATGCTCTCAGTTACTTCATCGAATCATCCGATGAACGGGACGAGGGCAATCTGATTAGACCGAAACTTCGACTGCAGATGTCCCAACCCTTAAGGCCTTCCTTCTCAACTGCTAGACCCTGCGCACTCTCTCTCCAACCGGAAACCCCCCCCCAACCAAGACAGGCGATTTTAATCCGTTACACGCAGGTGGGTCACAGCCCGGGACTTAACACAACGCTTGTACTCTTCCGGGGATCCCTGAGAGGCGATGAGCTCAGGGGCGGGACCCTGCACACAGGGAGGGAACACTTACTCTTGTAGTTCCAGTGTATGCTGGTGACCTGGATCTCCTGGGTGGGGATGTATTCCTCCAGGAACTTCCGGCCCTGCAGCCGGTGCCACAGCGTGCTCTTCCCGGTGTTCCGGTCCCCCCGGATCACAATCTTCACTGTGGGAAAGAAGCAAAGTCATG